CTCAACGATAACTTTTAGCCCCTATAAGGAGTTTTTAACTGGTTGTGGAAGGGCCTTATTTTAATATTGCTGCCTCTTTATGGCCTACTACAGCCAATGAGACAATCAGGGACAAAATTGGCTTTTCCTATAAACTATTCTCAATGTCTGTCGCCAGGACAGATTACCCATGAGGTCAGAGCGGTGGTCTGAGAAGAGGATGTAAACAGATGCAGTCCTTATCATATCTTTACAGTAATAGCATTTTAAAGAGAGCTGTGGTGTCGCAATGTTTTCTTGGTATGTGTGCTGAACTTGCTACATATGTTTTTTTCCCTCCTTCCAAAACAAATGCACATGCTGTCTGGACCAACGTTTTAACAACAGTTGACAGTTGAAACCCAACCACTCAGACAGAGAGGCGCAAGTTCTTGACTTTCTGTGGCCATGTAGTTCTCTTCTTGTTGTGCGGTGCTGCAGAATGAAAACAGTGGGAATTCTTTAATCATGTCCACAGGAAGAGGAAGAAACGGCGACGCAGGTTTTGAAACAAGTGGCAACATCCAGTGAGACTGTGACAGAAACCCAGCCTGAGCTTATTTCCCCACCTCCACCACCAGCCACCTGTTCCCCTACCAAGATCCAACAGGTTTGGATCCACACACACACGAATAGGAAAAATTGCATAGAAATTAAAAGACAAAAAGTCAGCAAAAAAAAAACGACCAGACTCCGTAAGATTCAAGCAGAAATATTTAAATTGCCACAGTGAAGTGACTTGGATGCGATATGAGCACAGTAATCAAATGTGTCTCAACTGAGGCCACACAGCAGGTGATAACAAGACAGACCTGCTCGAGCCAAACTGCGGGTATGTCCTCCATTAACCAAGAGCTGTCTTCCCTGAAAGTTCTCAACATGTGTGGCCATGCCCAAGTGAGAGAGAGAGATTATTTTCCGTTACTACATTTAGGTAATTTAGATACTGTGTACTCGCTGTTGTTTTTTCTTTATTCTCTGTCTTAGTTTAATCTAAGATAGAGTGCGTTCAGAGAACATTTAATTTATGTCAACCTCCAGCAGCGACAGGAACAGGCTGCGTACACACTGATGCTTCAGGATTTATCATTTAATGATCTCTTATATAATAATGTATCAGTCAGATAACCAATACTTATACTTTAATACTTTCTCTACATCTTGCTATTAATACTCAATTAAATTAAATGTGTAAAAAAGGTTTTATATTTTGTTAAATTGTGTACTTATATTGGCTGAAATATTTTCAACAATGGTCAAACTCTGAGAAATCAAGTAAACTAGACATTTCATTGTGGTTAACTTATCAATTCTGTCATATCCACTTTACCGTGGCTTTGTCGGTATCTGCTTTAACTTCTGGGGTTTAACAAAGGAAAAACACACTGATAGCCAGTCAGCTCTTTTTCTCTTATTGGATCATTACTATTCAATGCTGTTTACTGCTTAACATGAATACAACTCTTATTATATTTTATCTTGTCTGTGAAAGTGAACATAAGTTGTGTCAGGTACTTGTTAGTCAGCAGTGGTGGTGAAGACAACAAGTGTCATGACCCATCACGGCTTAATGGCTTCATTAAACTAGATCCTGTGTTATTGTTTTGGTTGAGAAACTCCAAGCGGCCAAAGTTACATATTGTAAATTTAAGTGGGATTTTTTAAGCACTTTTGCTTACAATATATTTTTAAGGGGCCTGATTAATTATGTGAAGTTAATATTAATTTCTTTTTTTAAATAAATGTGGAGACTTGTAGATTGATGGAGGGAAAAAACACAACATAACATGGGTCGGAATATAAACAGTATTAGCCTCAGTTTCCAACATTTCCTTCACACGATACATCATACAAACAAAGTTTTCCCCCACAGCACCACTGGTGAGTTTTTATTATGAAGCAGCTCTATTGAAAGCAGTTTATTAGTCACTGAAGTCAGCACTGACTGCTGCAGTAAAACACAACAAAATGTTTCAATAGGGACATGAACTTGTGATATGAGAAAGATGTGTTGGAATAAGCAACTATATTAGGCCCTGGTATTAAGAATTGGTGTTTTTGGACTACCACTATCTCAGTTCATAATGTATCTATCTATTTCTAACCAAGCTGACTAATTCACATATCATGTTTTGTTTGTTTAACTACATCCACTAACAGAAAAGTAAAAACAACATTAAGCAGATTTTAAAGAGGTTACATGAGAGAGCTTTTCTCGACCAATCACACTAATCTTTGGATTCCAGACTTGAGGAAGTCACTGCACATGGTTCAGATATAGGTCATGTATGTGAGATCAATTTTCTTATATAATTCCTCAGCATGAAAGTCTACAAGTGTATTTCCCCAACTGTTGAACCTTGCTTTTAAATATTGCAAAGAAAGGAAAGTAACAGGAACATCTACTGTGAGCTTCATTAGATGAAAAGACTGATCCCCATGTACAATGTTCTAATATAAGACATCTTTTATTAACACTTACTCTTACTTGACAAGCTGTATTGTAAAGTCCATCAGACTGCAGTCACACAGATTGGGGGATCTCATCTATTCTCTTTCAACAGAATGGTTTCTTTGAACTCCAAAGCCTCAGTCGACCACTGACTGCTGTCTCCCCTTTCCACCTCCCCTCTCTCCCTGGTCTGCTGGAGATGAAACCCACAGGTAAACACACACTATGCTCTGATGCTGTGTTAGAGGAAGTGGCCTTTTCTTTTGGTTTAGCCTGGCATTTTAAGCCAGGATGACAAGAAATGTGTTATTGAGCAGTGCGCTTCTATGAGCAAATTCAGCTTTCCCTATGTTGATACCAAAGAAATGACATAGCTGGTGTTTTTGAAGTTTGCTCAACTATTAACAAATAACAGAGCTTATAAGAGTTTATCATTGTTTAATAAAGAGCAAACGTCGAGGATTTGGTTGTAAATTCAAGGTTTTACTCTGCTCTCTGCATTGCAATAGACGATGACTCCACTGGGACGTCTGCTGTTAGGAAGACAAAGAGGGTGCGCTTTGGAGGTCTGCTCTCTCCAGAGTTATTTGATAAGAACCTGCCTCCCAGCACCCCATTACAGAAGGGTGGCACGCCGGCTCGAGCACCCACACCAGGCGGGGGGTTACAGCTGCGCTCACTGCTGAAGACGCCGCAGAGGAGTGAACCCCAGACGCTTCAAGCTCAGTCAGACTTCTCCAGCCCTACTGTCTTTGGTGCCTCCCCTACACTCGCAATGCCTCGCAACTTCAGAAGGAAGTCTGTGGAAGAAGACAGTGAGGAGGATGGAAAGGTAAACTGGCTGCCAGGGTTGTCTTGATTGTGTGTGACATTGAATATTAATAACTCTGTTAAACAACCTGGATAATCCACTCAAACTAGATCGTAGAAGTTCTATTGCATTCATTCTTCTTATGTATCGTGTACTAGGTATAGGAACAGGTCTAATAAACAGGTTACACTCAGCCACAAACCTCCAGGAAGCTTGTTCAGCTTTAATTGTTGTTAGTCCTGACATGACTACATGTGGTTTTTCCCTTGCCAAGGCTCAGTGTTTTTTACTTTCACGTTATAATTAGCCTTGTTGTTGTAGTAGTTGTGGTTCATAATTGTATATAACTTCCAGGATTATATTCACTATCTTGTTCCTATAAATTCATCACTAAGCAACATTGTTTTTCTTTATTTTCTGATTTCAGATTGTTTTCCCTTCAATGGAGGAGATCGACTATGCAGTGACAAGTGATACAGGTTCATTATTACACATTGACCCCTGAGGATTTCATCTGGTTGTCTCAAGTAGAACTTAATTAAACTCTGTTTATATATTAACAGCTCTTCCTATGTGTTAATATTTCAGGATATCTGTTGGACTCCCAGCCACTGAACTTAAACTCTGCTTTCCATGAGGAGTCTCTGTCTCAGACAGTGACAGGTGAACTGACAACATACTCCATTTCTTTTCCTTTCATTGACACTTAATGTCTTCATTCCTCCGATCTCTGCCTTATCCTGACAAACCCAGCAGTGTCGTGCTACAATACAGCTCAGGATTCTCATCATAGAGAAACAGCTTAAGAAAAAAGCCATTTTCATAGTTTTCATAGAGCTCAAATGATAAACATGGTAAACAACAAAGGTATGGGACACATGTTTAGTTTGCTGTTGGTTATCATTTGCCATACTAATCCACAATCAATCCTTTGTCACTTTAGAGTCAGAGATTAAACCCAGCTCAACGTCTCAGATGGTCGTCCTGGATGAGCCTGCATCTTCACCAGAGAAGAAGAAACCTGAAACTCCAGCTCCGGTCAGGTCTAACAAACGGAGGAAAAAGGTCTGACATCATTGCAGCTTTAGTTGTTTTGTTTTTTTAATTTTCTTACATAGGTCATTGTCGACATATTTTTTCAGCAAAGGTGTTTGGCTTCACATTTACAGTTACTGTCTTAAAATTGCCAAAGTAATTTCCACTTTTCTTTCTAGAACCTCACACTGTTAGATTTCATGTTATAAAAATACATTTGTGTCTTAGCAGCCAGAAGCAGTGTGTGAATCTACAAGTGAGGCTCCAGCTCTCTCCGGCAGTCGAAAGAGAAAGGTCTGCTATTATCACAAACTACACCCAGTTTGATCAAACTTCCAGAAATCTCCAGTTACTAGACTAGATTGTCTGTTTTAATAATTCAGGGGTCATAACATGCTCCATCTAATCCTCTATTTAATTCTACTGGTTCTGAACTAAATCAGATTCACTTCATGTCTGTGGGAGAGTGTGGCAGCGACACTCTTATATAATGTATATCCTCATGCCAACTCTGCTCCCTCAGCAACCAGAGGAGAGCGAACCTGTGAAGAGGTCGACACGCTCTGCTGCCAAGACGGCCTCTGGGAAGATGAAGGTGAGCTGGCAGAGGCTGCTTCTTTGATTTCTCTTTACAACCCTTCACTGAGGGACCTGCAGATGTTTCTGTCTGGGAGGCAATCATGGAGCTGCACAATGTGACTACAGCTTACTCTGGCTGAGTTAAGGAAAAGATGTGTGTGTGTGTGTGTGTGAATGTGTGTTTATACGCTTCTACACCACTGCAGATTTATCATGCTCACCACATGATCATAAATCATAAGATTTCTATTATGAAATCTTTAAAGTAATTCAAGTTGTGCCAAGAGTGGAGAAGCTGCTCTGCTCTCACAGATAATAGAACAAAGCCATTTGACAAGGCTCATAAGTTAAGAGTGTTTTTTTTTTTTTTACAGCTTTATTATGACTCATGTAGCCATGTTAAAGCATAGGGTTGATCATATTTCTTACCCTGTATTTTAATGTTCTTACAGCTTGCATGGAAGCATTTTATTTTCTGGTTGTTTGTCCTTGTGTACGCCTGTCTATCTCATTCTCCTGATTGTCATATCTCAGAAACGCAACAAGGGAATGTTTTCAAATTTGGCCCATGGTTCCTTGAATGTACTTGAATTGATAGATTTTGGGCAAAAATAGAAGCTTGAAGTTATTCATTTTAGAGTAATTTTAGAAATAATGCTTTGTGTCTCCTGTCAGCTCGTCAACTTGTAAATATTATAAATCTGTCTCTTGTCACTAAACTTAGAGAAGTCAAGAGACCACATATTCGACCACATCACTGTAACACAGGACAGCAGTCAAGACCGCAGGTCCTGAGCAATGCAGCAAGCGAACAAATGCATTCACATACAGCTGCTCAAAAAATTAAGGGAACGGTTAAATCACAAACAGGATCTCAATGAACAAAATATTCATGTTGAAAACTTTGTTTGCTGGTGTACATTCTGTTATTCATTGAGAACTAACATAAGAACCATTAATGGAAACAAAAATCATTAACCCCTTGAGGACTGGATTCAAAATCACACCAAAATCAAAGTGAAAAATTGCAATCCCAGGCTGATCCAACCTGTGTGAATTTTCATCACAACTCATAATGTGATTCATAAAGTGTGTATTGCCACCACGTGCCTGTGTGCAATCCTGACAGCATCTGGGCTTGCTCCTGATGAGTCGGTGGATGATGTCCTGGGGGATCTCCTCCCAGAACTGGATCAGGGCATCAGTGAGCTCCTGGGCAGTCTGTGGTGCTACTTGGTGGCAATGGATACACCGATATATAACGTTCAAGACATTCTCAATCGGATTTAGGCCTGGGGAACGTGAGGGTAAATCAATGGCATCAATGCCTTCGTCATCCAGGAACTGCCTACACACTCTGGCCAATCCATCTCTGAGGATTTCATCCCAACACTGAACAGCATTCACATTACTATTAGTTCGCACATGGAGGTCTGTGGGACCCTCCAAGGATAAGCCTCCCCTGACCTTCGATGACCCACCACCAAACCTGTCATGCTGGATGATGGTACAGGCAGCATAACGTTCATCACAGCTTCTCCAGACTCTTTCACGCCTGTCACATGTGCTCAGTGTGAACCTTCTCTCATCTGTGTAGAGAACGGGGCACCAGTGGTGGACCTGCCAGTTGTGGTGTTCTCTGGCGAATGCCAATTGAGCTGCACGGTGCTGGGCTGTGAGCACAGGTCCCACTAGAGGACGACGAGCCCTCATTCCACCCTCAAGGAGTCTGTTTCTGACAGTTTGGTCAGAAACAAGCACACCTGTAGCCTGCTGGAAGTCATTTTGAACTGCTGGGTTGATGCCCTTCGACGGCCCTGTCCAGCTCCTTGTGTAACAGCCGGTCTCCTGGTATCTCCTCCATGCTTTTGAGACTGTGCTGGGAGACACAGCAAACATTCATGCGATGGCACGCTTAGATTTATCTGTGGAATCTGAGTGGGCTGCAGGTGCCTCATGGCCTCATGCCATCATAAGAATGGCACGAGCAAAATACAAAACTGGAGAAAAATCAAATAGGAAGGATATGGAGAGAGACATTATCTGTAGCAATCACTTGCAAACCATTCCCTTTTTGGGGGATGTCTTGCTGTTAACTCCATTGCACCTGTGGTTACTTTCAATTTGAACCAAAGCAGGTAAAATTGATTGAAAATCGTTTACGCTTCCTAAATGGACAGTTTGCTGTCCCGGTGGGTTAATTGACTTGGTGTTATACAGTGATGGTCAAGTGTTCCTTTCATTTTTTTCTCTCCTCTCACGCTGTGTCAGAGCTGTTTTAAGAGATAGCTGTCAATGTTGTTTCTCTTATCAGACTTTAGCTTTATTTTGCTGCCAATGTGTCAGAGGGTGAATTACCTTTGAGGTCTATTCAGTAAATATTTGTTAAAGCACCTTTGACATAATCATTAAGAAAAAACGAAACAGAATACTACTGAGAATTAAAATAGTCCTTAATTTGAGATCATTTAGGTTGCTTTTGAATTTGATAATTTATTCCTGTATAACAAGTACACCAGCTAATTTTGCTGTGATTATCTACCATGAGAACCTGTGTCTAACATGCACATGTGGTGCTGGAATGAGTTTCATTTATTCAACTAATCTCTTTCTTCTTATAATCCTTTCCTGTCCTGATCCACTCAGTTATTTACTGTTGCTGTAAAGTACCGTGTTTATGGGAAGAGCCTCCAGACCTCCAGCCTATTTATCTTCCAAGTTTGTCTCCCCATAACCAGGCACCAATGTTCGAGCCTTTCTCTTTTTAATTAATGTCTGTGAGCTTCTGTAGAGCCAGATTTTTTCCATAAAAATTCTTAATGTTGTAACAGTAATTAACCTTCTTCTCTGCGTCTCAAACTCTGATATGGGTCCTCAAATATGAGGCAAATGAGCCTGGAAAATTGGTAAGAAGTTGAATTTTATGTGAAGGATGTGTGGGAATAAGATGAATCAGTCTTTGAAAACCCACACACACAATACTTGGTTGTATGATACATTCAGTGCTGGTTATATTTTTATATTGTCGACTCTGAGAAAAAGAGAATCACCAGACTTAAGCACATTGAGACAAGAATAATATGTAGTAGTTGACATAACATTCCCGATGCATTGGGCCAGTTATCAAAACCAGTTATAAAAGTTGCAGTCTGGATAGCTGTAGATATTTTGACAGTGGTTCACATAACAACAACAACAACATCAACAACAGTCAATTTCCTGAGGTTGTAGTCTCTGCCTCTTTTAACAGATTTGTAGTTTTTGTGTCTCTTTTTTTTCCTTTGCTTTGTACATACAGGTTCTCCATCAGGGCTATGTATCAGTCTAAGTGGGTTACTATTCATCAGTTTAACTAAACGTTTGAGACTAATTATGAGAGAAGGAGTAAAGACCTGCTCACGTTGCAGATTGTGTTTCCACAGATGACTTCTGTAGCAGCACGTCGTTGGAACAGGGACGTGGACCGCTCCCTGTACGGCTCTCGGGAATACGCCTCTAAGAACCCCACCCTGAGTCCCATTACTGAGAGACTGTCTATCATCGGTCAGTCTCCGGCTGCACAGCAGGCTCCCTCTGCAAGCTGCACAAAACACGCAGGTAATAACAAACCTTGTTTGAGTTTAAGAAGCAGTAGTTAATTAAGCTTGTTTTCTTTTCTGTTGGCTGGAAAAAACATTTGTTATCCCAGTATTTTCTTTCTATTTACATTCTGCTCAAGCAAACAACCCTTTAAAATCCACTCCCATTTCTCCCAACAGCTCCAACCCCAGAGACCCACTCGAACGCGGAGACTGCTAACAGCAGGGAAGCAACAGACGAGCTCATTGTGACACATGACTTAGAAAATCCATCAGAAGAAACCGTCAAATCTCCATACCCCAGTAAAGAAAGCTGTGTGAGGAAAGGCAGGAGGCTGTTGGGGCAGAGGTCCAGAGGGAGAGGAATGAAGAAAAGGAAGGTCAGTGTTGCTGTCTGCAACTTGCTCTGTGAGGAGCCTTGCGAGGAGACTGGAGGACCAACAAAGGAGCACTGTGAAGACCAAACCACTACAAAGCCTGAGGCATCAAGGGAAACCCCATTGTGCCACACAGCACCTTATCAGAGAGCAGAGGACATAGACCTTGAAGCCAAGACTCCTGCAGATATACCCAGCACTAACTCAGAAGGGAAGTCAGAGTGTCCCGCCAGTCTTAATGCTCTCCTTCCTTCAGATAAAGAACTGAACGACTTGAGTGCACCAGCAGAGTTCTCACAACGAAAAGCCGAGGGCAGGAGCAGCTCTGTAAACAGTTCAGTTGACCAGGAGCAGGGGGACCAGGTACAGGAGCACCAAATGAGCCATGAAGTGGAGGATAACCACCAGGGAGACCAAGCAGCGAACCGGCTTGAAAACTGCAGGTCGAGCTCAGGCAGTCAGGAAGAGGAGGGACCCTTTAATTCAGACCTGGCTCCTTGGCAGGCTGACTTTAATTTTGAAGATGTATTTAAATCTGTCACCAGTAGAGGGCAGCGCTCTGTACGCCGTAGCTTGAGGAACCAGAGAAATGAGGTCCAGAGCATCGGGGCAGGTCTCGCCTGGCTGCCTCGTACCTCACCCGACTCGAGTAAAAAGGCCCGAAGGAAAACGCGGGGCTGCCGGCTCAGCGCTGCTCTCCCTGCCCAACCTTCAGTCTCTGAGGAGACACAGGACAACTGTTCATAAGACTTTAAACTGACGACAGCAGATTAAAGGGAATAATTGATATATTCATTCCACTGTGATACAAACCTCACCTCCCTGTTTCATTAGATGCAACAATTTTTCCAAAGAGCAACTTAATAGTTTTACATCTAGAATCTGAAATGTTTTCTCCCTGTGTGAATTATTAGAGCTGACCAGTTATTTGTTGCCAGATTCCTGCTGGTAACCAAACCAGTCAATATACAGAGTCCAGTCATGTCTACTGACCAATTCCCAATCAATAACTGCCTGCTCCTCAGCTGGTAATCAAAGTGCATCTTCAGTCTCCCTCTCCAAAGTCACTGGATCAAGCACGTCCAAGTCGATATCTATTCGTTGTGGATAGATGGCTTATTCCAGGAGGAGGGGGTGGATGGAATTCAATCTATAGATGGATAGAATGAAATAAATAGTAATGTAGGCAGTAAATGGGCCTTGCACACAGAAATTGAATCAATAGGCTCAGGTAATTCTGCGTTTGGCTGCTGGAATGTTTTTTTTTTCCTCTGTCATTCTGTTGACATGTCCAGAAGACGTCCCTGTTTCTCCCTGTTGTTTTCAAGCTGTTGGTCCGTTTTTAGACTGGTGATGATTTCCAGTCAAGTTGAATTTGTCTTGTACATTGCATCAAATTAAATGTGACCTGGTGTTTCTGCTCAAAGTCTACCTTGCTACTGTTAAAATACTTTGCCACCCCACTTTACCACACTGCGGTAATTTAAACAGACTATTTAAGATGAATTTGGCAGCAGTTCGTCTGGATAAACGCCTATCTCCTCAAATGTGATGTTCCAGCTGTGTTCCAGCTTTCCCTTCACATTAACCAGAACCACCATCGTTATATAAATTACTATTCTGATCTTCATTTTGAACCCAGCCAAATATCTGGAAGTAAAATGACCTGTGACCTTAGATTCCACCAGCCAGAGATTCAAATCAGCTCCATCCATCTGTCAGAGAGGAACGAGCGCTAACAAATTGAATTTCAGACTCAGTTCACACAGGAAAATTGGCTGCTGCAATTATGCAACGATGTAATCTATCCATCACAGAGTAATTGACTCGTCCCTTCTACATCAAGTCAGAGTTACTTGGCTGAAGGACACCAGAGCATTCTGTGTGCTCCTGGTATGTGCCAAGGTCTCTGTATTCTCATGGAAGATGGATGGACACAATTGCAAACCAAGTCATGCAGTGCTGTGTCCACCCAGTGTGGCCACGCTGCCATCTGGTGGCGGCTTTCAGGACTTGCACATAACCAGTTGCTCTAAGACAATCAACTTGGTCACCTGTGAGTAGATGAGAGAGTAGCTGACGTTATTATAAGGACAGGAGATATTGGAATAGATACTAAAGCGGTGCGTTGTTGGACGCCACTGCTGAGACCAGTGTGTGTGTGGTCTGTGGCATCATGTGCTCATTTAAAGACTCATCTGATTCTTAACTGGGAATATCTGAAGTGTGCAGTTATACTGGGGCACCTCTATACAAGTAGCTGAGGGATGTTTTTTCTGTGTGAGTGAGAGAGAGGGGTGTGAAGCTGAGTCCCCTGTCCCTGGCAGACGGGCATAGTGAAGACGGCTTAACACAGGAACAATGGGGTCCTTTGACCAAAACGACGCCCCCAAGACATGTGGCCTCCTATTACCGTGGCAACCCCCCATGGGACAGGGAGCGGGGCTGACAGCTGGAGAGGAGGACTCACAAAAATGGAGTCCATTTCTTTGCACTGAAGCTGCCCGACTCTATATCTTCTCCCTCTTCTCGCTGTCGTCCTCGACTCCTGGCCCTCATGAATGTGGTTACATCTCATTTTACTGCTTCATGTGATTGACTTTATGGACCTGATTCATCACCTACAATTCATCTAGACATAGAAAAGAAAAACCCACTGAGACAAAAATAAATCAGCTCTTAATAGGCCGTGATCACTGTCAGTAATAATAGAACATTGATCGCATTAAAAAATATGGGCCTGAGCCCCGAGATTTCACACTCACTGTACATGTGATTTTACGGCTCATTTTACAACGGATGAGAACTTTCTCTGCCGACACAAAGAAGCATAATAAGTTATTTGTACTTCCAGATTTAGAGACTTTGGTCTTTCAATTAGTTAATTAGTGTCTGAATGGTATTAAGTTGTCCCGCTGCCTCTGCCCTTTCAGCGCTCTGAGCTGTGAGCCCTCTATTATTGATGCTGAGAGGCGTGCTCTCTAAGCCCTGCACTACTCTCCTACAGAGCTGAGGACAGCAGGAGCAGGCCAACTAAACAAAGGCAGGACAACAACAAGAGACCTTCCAGCTATTCTCACTTTGGTTTGCTGTCCTGGTGTGTCTGCATGTTACTGATCACTGGGGCTGCAGCCAACAACTCTTTTCCCCATCAGTTAATCTGCTGATTATTTGGTCTGAAGTCCAGAAAAGTGAAAAATGTGATCATTTTCATATGTTTTTGTTATCAAAATAGCTGCAGAGTCATTTTCTGTTGATTTATGAAGGGACATAATGTTGACCAATTGCAAGTCACACTCAGCTGTCAATCATGATGTCTCTGCCTACTTTTATATCATCAAATAACTAAATCAAACTTACTGGAAAAATAAACACTGTGACAACCATCAGTGTGATGAGGGCAACTTAAAATGACAGAAACTAATTTATTCAACAGGAACTTTGACTTTTTAGTTTGGTCCACGTCCCATCCACTAACATGGAGGTGGGGGGATTTTTGACCTATACTGCAGCCAGCCACCAGGTGGCAAACAAGGTGCTTTAGCTTCACTTTTGCAGAGCTGTCATGTCATCCATCTTAATATACAGTCTGTTGTGTTATGTTAGTGACATCACATGATGTCACTGACCCTCACTGTCATGTTGCATTGTGGGTAACATAGGTAGCAGGTTGTTAATAATGAAGAATGCTTCAGATAAAAAAACACCTTTCAATCTCAACTGTGATCCTTTCCCCCCTCTCTGAAGTCCCACACCTCTGTGAATGAATTTACTGTGATAAAATCAAACGGCTCAGAATAAAAGACAAACTACTGTTTTATTTATTTTTTTAGCTTGAGCCTCCAGAGCTCGATGCAGGGATCCTTCAAATGTCTGGAACTCTACTCCAGGGGTCAAAACCATTTCTACCTAAATGTATTCCTTCATTCACATTCAGTGACATATCCTACAGAGCAGTATCCTACTTTCTCTGTTTCTGCTTCTTCTGTAAACATGTGCAGAGTGAGGCCAGAGCAGGAAAAGCAGGTGTCATCCTGTTTCTGTCCGCAAGAAAACTGGATTCATGGTCAATTATTGGATTTTTTATTTTACTACATCACTGTTGGTGTTCTAGCTAAGAGCATTCTAAGTGTGAGAACACATCATTGTCATACTCCTTCAATGCAATATGATTAATTGGACAATTATGTATGAAATCATTACATAAATGTAAGAGTGATCACATCATGTATCTCTCTCTCGCTCTCGTTGTCTCTCTCTCTGTGTGTGTGTTGCACACCTCACACTGAGCTGCCCAGTAACATACCTGTACACATCTTCATGCAAGTCTGAACTTGACTCACTCTTCACTGATACAATGTGAAGAACATGGTCTGCAGGTGGGGAACCGTAGTGTCTCTTTAAATGTTAACGACACATTTACTCATATACTGAAAACCTTTATTAGACCATCTGTCCAATTTCAGTGTTGTAGGAAACCTGAATTTATTACACTGGATTGTAGAATCCTAAAGACGTAGAAACCAACTGTAGAGAATATAACCATGAGAGTGATTTGTAATGATGATGTGTATCTTTCTTGTAGTGAAATGAAAAAAATGACACTCAGTGAAGGTGCTTCACGTTCTCTGGGTCATTAACAATACAAATGCCAATGTTAAGCCAATAACATTAATGCTTTTTTTGAGATATGTGTTCCACATACAGAGACAGAGGTTTATGGAATAGATAGAGAAATAGATGTAGTCAGGACTGATCATGTATTTTCCATCACTAATTTAATTATTTTATTTTATTGACCCATTTTATATCCACAGGGGCACTTTGGAAACTTCCTGAGATGTTGATGCATCTGTATCCAGGATGTCCTGCAGGGTTTGAATCTCTGGATTCATGTTCTCCCCACGTTCACGTGAATTTCCTCCACACTCCAGAAACATGCAATCCCTCTGGACATGGATGTGAGCCGTTCCTTTCTGGCTCTGTGTAGTGGACTATGGACCTGTCCGGGGTGTATATTCCCTTCAGCCTGTTGCATGCTGGGAAATGTTCCAGACCCACTCCCTCTGTATGTTTTTAATAGAAACAGCTATGAGGAAATAAGCAACTAAAAGTGCTGCAGTGCAGACCTGCGTCAGAAATGCTCAATGATATTAAACTCTTTTCTACCTGACACATGCTGGTCCTGGGGGGTGAAGTCAGCTGAGGCAACATCATCAACATGGTGTCTACTGAGAAAGCAGCCAGTCTACCATAGCAACTGGAAGACTAGAACTGTTGCTATTTCTTGAAGAAATCCCCGAAGAGATGCTCCATCTCCAACTCTGCTCAACTGTGTGAGCATCGAGCTGAAGGCAGTTGCTACTTCTGCAAAGGGGCCTCAGAGATTTAGTTTAAGAAGTGTTGCAAACTCAGTGCTAGTAAATAAAAATATGTTGCACTCATAAACCAGGGCTCTTCACAAGACACATTTTAAAAACAAACAATACTAATAATAAATAAGCTGAATGAGTTTTTAGACTTGATAACTATATGTCTTTGTCAGTCCGTCAGTCCTGTTATATTCCTGACTGAATATCTCAGCCATTGGATAGTCATGAGACATTCAGGGTCCCCAGAGGATGAAAGCCCTGATCTTTCCTGTAGTACCACCATAAAGGTGATATTTGCAGTTTTGAGTGAAATACCTTGACAACTATCCCGGAATTGTGTATCGACAATCATGTCTCTTATCTCCCGACTTTCTAATAGCGCCACCTGCTGGTCAGAGTTTTAATTTGTCCAATACTTTTGTTTATGATCAATTCTTGCAAAACTATAATAACTCCGATCAGCCTCAACTGTACTTTGTATACCACACTAAGTACAGTTGAAGCTGATGGGGAAGGTGGGAGAAGTAAAAACAATATTCTGATACTGAGTCATAATATCTCTTCTTAAAAATCTAATTTAGGTTAATCATTTGCATTTTAAATTAAAGTGTCAATAGACATCCACACTGAGGTCTATTATTGGTCAGCTCAGTTAGTTTACTGGTGACCATAAACTATAGGCTGTACAGAAAGATGGACGACATGACAGCTCCTCAAAAGTGAAGCCAAAATCTCATTCGCCACCTGGTGGCTGGCAGCAGTATAGCTCAGAAATCCTGCATCTTCCATGTTAATGAATCAGACACGGACCAAACAATAAAGTCAAAGAACACTTCAAATAATTTTCTCTCAAAGATGGTTTCTGTCATTTTAGGTAGTTCTTATCACACTCATGTTTTTCTGGTAAGTTTAGTTGTAATTAGTTATATGATATAAAAGAAACACACAGAAACATGACTGACCGCTAAGTGTTTTCACTGAACTCTGTGTTTTCTGTGTATTAATCTCTTCACTAATAAAGCCCCCTTGGAGCCAAAGGTGACCTGATGAAGATCTGCAGTGGCTGGCTCCTCTGTGAGAAATGGGCCAGGCTGACACGTGTCAGCCATGATAAATGAGCAGGTGTTTGGGTTGGTGTTAAGTAAATGGAGTCATTATTGATGACCTCAGAGCTCCCTGTGTGTTGCCAGTATCACTGATGACTTCCAGGCCCCTGCTCCAGTAAGAGGGGATGTTATGACTCTGTGGGTCAGGGAAGGACTCACAGCCTCAGGGGCAGACTGGAGTGTCTGCCATGGTGGGGTTAAGTTGAATTTCTTGGACTGATGACCTCAGAGCGGGAAGTTCACTGGCACTGCAGGGCTGCGTGTTTCTCTGTGGACTCTCTGTGACTTGCTGCTGTCACGAAGATTCGAGCTGAAAGTTTCATTCATGTTTATTACATAGCTTTAGAGATGGCAGTCGTTTCAGACTGAAGTATCTGCACAACTCATGAATTGATTGTAAATGTGGAACAGATATTTATGGTGGCTAGAGGATACATCCTGATGAGGGGTTTTTTTCAGTTAAGTGGTGTGTGTCTTAACATTTGGCTGCCCAGACACCTGAACATGTCTGGTTTTAATTTAAACTAGTGCAGTGCCTGTTCTAAACCTGCCTGTTTGGAATGGGCTGTTTTCTCTGCCTATGTTAATGCTGGTTGCAGCTTTCTTCCTGAAACTGGAAAAGTGACCCTCAGTAATGGAAGGGATATGAGTATAAGCAAGTAAAGACAGCAGGCAGAAAAAGGATGTCCCAAAGAGCTGTTCACCTGTTTATTCAAAATTCACTGAAGCTTGACTCAGCATGCACAACTCTGAAATGAATGCGCTTT